ATATAATATCATGACGATAATGATGATATTAGATCACTGACAGATGTTTCAAAGTAACAGTAGCTGCGTTTCCATTCACCATTTGACATTTTGAAAATATAATCGCTTAATGGAACCATTACAAGTAAAAAAATAAAAACAACTGTTTTTTGCTAAGAGTTTTAAAATCCACAGGTCGTTGTGCTCCATGCTAGCTGTTAGCCACTCGTAGCGCTCATAGTTACAGTCTTTAAAATGCCTTAAAAGTTCTTACTGGTGTTTGTTAGTGAATCCAGGATCGGTGTGGGGAAAATGGCGGTAGGCTGAAGTGTTTTTTTTTTTTTTTCCGTTTTGAAATTGATTCGCAAAGAAAACATTTTTTCCCATTACGAGTCAAAATATCAACAACCGGATGTTACCACAGGTGTGCAAACCACGAAGAAGAAGACGGCAGGAAGTAGTTGGAGTATCATGTCATGAAAAGACGTATTCACGTGTGATTTTAATTGTTTCCTATTTAATAGAATCACTATTCTCCGATAAAACAATTTGCAACTACCAAATTGTGTTTTTTTTTTTTTGGCATTAGCGGAATACTGACAAAGTTTTTGCGCACATTTGTAATGGAAATGCAGCAGGTGGCGATTACAGCGAACCTGAATTAAATTGGACATACTTTTTTCTTCAGATCAAATGAAATAGGTCACAGATGTTTGTGATACATTTGTGTTGGTTTGTGTGTAAAACGTTTCTGTAAATGTGTCCGTATCAATGTAAAGATATTAATAAATGCTTCCAGATGTCAACCCACATTTACAAAATCAAACAAATGGGGAGTCAAGCAACTGTGATACAAAAATTTTAGCTGCACAAACGTAGCACAATTAATTCATATTACTTTGATTTTGGACATGTTGGGGAGAGGAAGGCAGGTTGGTCTCTAGTGACCTCTGGAAACGTTTTATTTAAACGTTACTAATGTCACTAAAAACACACACACTGTATTTTAAACCCTGAAAGCAGTGAAAGGTCCAGCTGTCTCCAGGAGGTCCAGCCTCCTGAGTCTCCGTACTTTCAGCCAAGTTTCGACTTCCGGACCCTGAGAGCTCTGAGTCTCCTCCGTCAAGATCCCGATGCATGGAAACAGCGCCACCACCAGACGACTTACCAGGAGCACTTTGGACTTCAATCTGTTTTCTTTCCTCAATCATAGATTCTTCACTCCTTTGACATAAATAAATAAATAAATAAATAAATAAATAAATAAAAAAAAGACTAAAACCATTCAAATCTAAATATTAAAAATGTGACCTTTAGAAAAAAATTATATATTAGTTCTTATTTTGGTTGGTGTGTTTTTACTTAATTGCTGCTAAATATTCTATTTATGATCATGTGCAGTGTGGTTTTATGGCCACCAGAGGGAGCCCTTCCTTGTGATATTGTCGTCTTTAGAAGGAAATAGAGCATGACAACTTGTTACATCTTATAAATGTGATCAAATAAAATATATCCATTCACCTCATTATATTTTAGTTAATTAGAGACATATTTGGGTGAATTGTTTCAAACCATTTGTAAGTTTAATGTAATGTCACAATAAAGGCACCTGTTTAGGCTTTGGTGTGGTTCTGTGTGCGAATCAGTGAAAAAAAGAGGTGCAGTGCTGCAGGGCTTTTTCCAACACCTGCGGTACAGTCATTGTTTGCATTCCTTTTCAGTTAAATCACATCAATATCTTGACATAAGAATGAGAATTATCTCAGAATTTGCTGACGCAAACTTGCATGCATGATCCGATAAAACGGACGAGGGAAATTACAGAAAATGTAAGATCAACTTGATCATGTCAAGGTATTTGCTTGAAAACATTTGTCAAGATCTTTGATAAGAATGTTGATGCTTTTGAAACACGTGGAACTGATAAAACTCAAATTCAACTCCTTTAAGGAGCTACATTGTGGAAAAGAGAAGAAATCTCTGACTTTAATAAACAGCAAAAGAATTGAGATTATTTTCTTCAAGTTGTTTCACAAAGCAGCAGCTTTTCACCCGTCTCTTCAAACTGGCGTCACATGTCATCCTTTCTGAGGAAAAGGAAAAACAAAGATTAAACAGATTATTTACCAATAATAAGAAATAAAGCAAACTTGTCATATATACACAATTTACACAATATTCAGACTTCTCTAAATTCTGAATGTCTATGGTACACCAATCTACAGAATCTACGGCCACTTAAGAAAAAAAAAAGAATTCTGATTATAATCTCAGAATTCTAACTTTTTTTTCCCTCAGAATTCTGATTTTAATCTCAGAATTCTAACTTTTTTTTCTCAGAATTCTGATTTTAATCTCAGAATTCAGATTCCCCCCCACCCCCCCGCCCCCCAGTGCTTCTAATCCTGTTCTGTCCCAATCAGCTGCATTTAAGGCAGAGTTTCTCTTCATCTGCAATGTAAAATGGCTGCGACGGAGAACAAACTTGCATGGTGATTTTTGGTCTGAGTGACTTTAACATTAACCAGACATTTTCCTAACTAACCAAATGGAATTGTAAAATGAAAAAGTGACTTGTTATTCCATTATTCAGTTTCATGTCAGATTAAACAAATACAATGTATCCTGGTACTTGTTGATCGGTGCACTTTTCATTCAAATGTTTTTTTAATTGAGAATCAAAAATTGAAAAAGTAAAGCAACCCGTTATTTAGGTTTTAAAAATGGAAAAACATTTTATATATATATATATATATATATATATATATATATATATATATATATATATATATATATATATATATATATAAAAATCTTTGCATTTTTGTGTTGAAACAGAAAAACCAAAGAATGAACCAAACACAGGTTGAAAGCTATTAAACTTGATTTAGCATCTCTAGCTGAAATAGATTAAAAGCTCTTAAATTCCTAAGTGTTTAAATGAAAAAAGAATAATCATCATGAGCTGCCTTGCCATTACAAATGCAAGTCATTAAAAACATACTGCGCCACGATCCTCTGACCACTTCCTGTTGTCTCATTCTTTGTCGTTTGCACCAGCTGATCACCTGACTCCTGCATGTTTCCATTGCAGTTTTAAATAAATCAACTTTGGTAAAAATGGAACTGGGTCATTCAGACTGCATTTTGGGGGGAAAAAAAATCATATTTGGTGGCATTAGCCTGCTGTGTTAACATAGAGAGAACTTAAAGTTAATCACATGATTGATTATAGAAAGTGCTGCTCTTTGTGCCTCACCATGTGCATATTCACTGTGCATTTATCAAAGACTCAACACATCACATCCATTCTTTAGACATATTAGACTCACTGTTGGACATGTGGTACATCTGTCATCAAATGTGTATTAACAATATAAAGACAGCAATGAGCATTCGCCAACTGCCTGTTTTATGTGCAACACAGCGCCACCTCGCCCCTCTCCAATGTCAACAGGCAACGAACCCTTAAATTTAGCGATTTGACTATATAAAAGTTGAAATGATTTAGAAAACAATTTTATAAACCAGTAAACTGGACAAATACATTCTCTCTTGTTAGTTTTTCACTTGTCCTGATGTCACTGCCTCACCTGCTTCGCCTGACCGGACCTCAGTCAACCACAGAGATGGCTCAGGATGACGCGGTGTCTGCCTCACAAAGAGAAAAACTGCTTTTCATTTGTGTTTTCCTTTAGTAACTTCTTTTTGAGAGTAGCATCGTTTGTGTGAAAAATCTACTTCACACCTGCAGCGACTGGACTTGATCGTTTGCATTCATTGAGGCTGTGGTTTTGTTGAGAAAATAAATTTAAAATAAGCTAGTTTTAAAACTTAACATGTCTTGATTCAAATGGCCTAATTGTGGTTTTGAAATCAGTAATGTATTCTGGCCTTTTGACCTTTATGTTACCTGTAGTTACAGCAGATGGTTTGCTAGGATCGTTTGAACTGCCTTTTGTCTGTGGGAAAACAATACAGTGGAAGTTGTAGCTTTTTACACTCATCTGTGAACAGCCGTAAACACGGCAGGGGTTTCTGGCTTGAGAGAGAGGGTCAGAGACAGCTCCTGGTTGGATGAGCAAAGATACGCCTTGTTTGAATAAATTAAAGAAAAGAAGATAAAACTTTCTACACAGGAGTAACAAATCAGATTTTGCTCTTGCAACTCTCAAAAGATGTCTTTGCACGTCTGTGCCTTTTCTTTTTCTATCTTTTTGTCTCAGGTAATGAATGTATGTCTCTGTTGTTCTGCAGTCTTGTTGTTAATTCATATGTTGTTTTGTATTGGATTAAACTCTGTAATTCTGTGACGTCAACACGCATTGTTGTTTTCCTTGTGGCCACACATGGCCCGCCGAGAGGACCTGGGATCCAAGAGGAAGAGAGAGCCAAACTTTTTTCCAAAGTTAATTAATTTAGATATTTCCTTCCTTAACAGTTTCTAACAGGAGGGAACAGCATGCGTTGTTTAAGAAGAGCAAATGTAGCCAAGGACACAGTGCAGATTAGCATCATGAATGTGCAGAATGTCTTCTGAAACCAGTGTGACAGCCCAGGAGCATATATGAGGCCATACTGACAGGGGATTTCCGGAGGCTCATACGTTTATTTAGAAGAAATGCAGTTTATGTTAAAACTTGTTCTTTTGTTTCATGGTTAAATAAAGCAAGTTTTGGTTTAAAACAACATACAAACTACAGCTAATAATAAGCTAGGAGCTTACTAGCAGGTGGAAATCTGAGCAGTTATAGCTGTTGCTTTTACAACACAAGAAATGTTTGAAATAAAAAAAAATCAGTTTTTGTTGTAAGTGCAAACGTCTGAAGAGTTTATTTCTGTATTTGCCATGTATGTGTCACATTATGAGGATGTTGTAATTCAATGATGGACAACAAAACTTTTACTCAAATCTCCAATACGAGATCCCCGACTTTGTAACATTTTGATGCTTGATGTTACTTTGCAGGAGATCAAACAAAGCAAGCATCCATCCATTTTCTAACAGCCTTGTCCCTTAATGGGGTCGGGAGGGTTGCTGGTGCCTCTCCAGCTAATGTTCTGGGTTCACCCTGGACAGGTCACCAGTCTGTCGCAGGGCAACACAGAGACAGACAGGACAAACAACCATGCATGCACACTCACACCTAGGGAGAATTTAGAGGACCCAATTAACCTGACAGTCATGTTTTTGGACTGTGGGAGGAAGCCAGAGTACCTGGAGAGAACCCATGCATGTACAGGGAGAACATGCAAACTGCATGCAGAAAGACCATGGGCCGGGAATCAAACCCAGAACCTTCTTGCTGCAAGGCAACAGCTCTACCAACTGCACCACTGTGCAGCCCTACAAAGCAAGCACTATTTTGTAAATAAACTCACTGTTAAAAAAATGTTAATCACTCTGCAAAGGCAATGGAAAATCAAATGAAAAGCTCATCCATCAGATCTAATAATTAACCTTTTATAAGCCATTTCAAGACGAGTGTGAATTTTTATTTACTCATTTGTCTACGAACATTGAAAAACAAGCAAAAGCTTATTTAAAATAGTTTAAACAAACAAAAGACGTATTGCATATTCTGTAAAATGCACCATTTATGGTCTTCTTTCTTGGTCTGTGTCATCATTTAGTGATCGAGGAACAAGGAAGCGAGCTGCCAAGCAAAATAAAAATAAAAAAAAATCAGTTTTCATCATTGTCAAAATGCCCATAAGGAAGTGCTATACGATGCCTGAGTTGTCCACGCTAACAAATAAAAATTATGCAATCGAGCTTGGTTATTTTCCGAACAAAGACACATTTGATTGCGATTATGCTAGTTTGTACATCCTGTTAAGATTTGTGGTGTCGATTAAGCTGTCTTTGTTTTGTGACGCAGCAAAAAGCCTGACCCTGACAAACGAGCTTCTCCTTCTGCATTCTCAGTCAGACAAAAATAGTCTGGCATGCACACAGAGGTTTGCCAAAACAATCTCCGTTGCTGTATATGGCTTCAAACAGAGCAGGGGAGGACGTATTAGTTTAAACTGCATCTCTTTTTACCTGGAGTTCTGATTTCCTCATTATCAACAGTCATAAGTGACACGTCTGTCATAAAACTGAGCTTCACTCTCAGCTGCCTCTGAAAAACGTTCACGTTGCATTAAGCCTAAAATAAGTGTAGGACATCTTCTGTCTCAAAGCATAAAACACATTGGAGATGTCAGTGAAGGATTTGAGCTTTCTGTGTGTTTATTTAGGTTTCTGTGTTAGTTGAGTCTCTGTATTGTCCTGTCTACCCCTGGATTGCTCCCAGCTGTGTCTTGTTCCCTGATTCCCCTCTGTGTATTTAAATCCACCTGTGTCCCTTGTGTCCTTGTCGGGTCCTCGTCTATTCTGTTGTGTCACATGTCTCTGCCTTTATCTCCAGTTGCTACCAGCGTTTTGAGCTCCTTGCCTCTGCTCACCTGTGTTGCCTGGACTGTGTATTTGTGATTCACCATTAAATGATCATTTCTCTCACTTCAACCTTGATCCACCGCATATAGTGACAGTCAGGTCTTTTATGTCTTGATCTACATTCAAGTGAAATATACAAAGTTTTGTCCCGGCGGACTTCACCTCACAAA